GAGGAAGTAGAGGGGGGAACTGCCACTAATGTCTCCGAGGTGATCAACGGCCAATGCCCTTTCCTAGAACAGTGAGCGCCCCACTCCTCTCAATCGTTGTTTTCTAACAACGCCTTCTAGGCCCATTACCCAATCCCAGGCTCGAACTGCACACCAGTACGTCGGTTTCATTCCTGGTCTCTTCAGTTCAAACTGACAAATGGCCAGGGCTCAAATGAACCTGTACCACACTCTCTTCGAATGAGCTTGCAGAATGATGCGTCATTCCGGAGTAGAGCAGGCATCACTCGTATCGCTAATTATCTATCTGTTTCTTTGTCTCTTTGGGATGCTGGTTTGCCCTCAGATTCTGCACGGTGCCTGACCCAACGCCCCGGTGCATCAGTTCTCGAAAACACCTTTGGCGTGGCTTGCACTATGATTCCTCGTGGTTCAAAATACTGCTCCTTAACTCTGAAGTACTTTTTAAAAGGCTATAATGTGATTTTACTCCAAATCCAAACTGGTCAGAAACAACCGAGTCTCGGCCATCAAGTCGTCACCCTTGTACTTCGCTTTCCATAACCGCCTTGATCATCTCGCTCCCTAATTGTCCGGCCTCCTCGAATCGTCCTTCGAAGAACGCCCGTGTCTCCTCAAACCGCCGTCGATACAGCTCAAAGCTGCCGAAGCTGACACACTGACTCCACCCTCGCGCCGCAACCACGAATTCCAGGTCATCGCTGCGATGCCACGTGTCATGCATCGCAGAGTGGATGGCGCCATCGAGCATCGTCGGTGAAAGGAACAAGTGCTCCGCGACGCCGAGGAAGAGCCGAAATAGCGGAGTTGCCGCTAAAGACAAATGTAGGAAGGGCTGGATATTGAGATGTGCCCAACAGTCGACCATAGCAAGCAGCGATAGATGCGAGTTGCCTTTGTATTTGCTTGGGGGCAACCCAAATGCCTCGAGCGCGTGCGTTTGGTCCATTGGCGATGGCGGGGCCGATGTCGAGGTGCGCCCAAGACTAAACCGATCCAGCACATCCTCGGACAGCAAGATTGGCGGACGCTTTGCGCTTCCCGTCTCCCCAAACACGGTTTCCTGCGCCCACATGACGCGTTCGCGGAATTTCGTTGCGTCCCCCTCGAGCATCAGTTTGAACAGATCTGTCACACTGTTCGAAAACTGGTCGATCTGCAGTCGCGCGCTGGGGTTCAAGATCGCGAGCCCGGCGTATACATGCCAAGCATTCGAGTAAATGCGCAGAGTAAGGTTGACTTTCGCTGTCTCGATGCCTCCCACATATTTGCCCTGTTCCCAGGGGTACGACTTTCGTGACGCCCATGCTGTCCCCATGCTGTGGCGAATGAGAAGGTGAGGTCCGCACTACAAGAGGCTGACATACCTGAGAAAGGCAGCATGAATCACTCCTTGGGTGTTAGCTGTTACGAGATCGTGCTCCTCGTATGAGAGGTAGACGAAACGGGACCCAAATGACCGGAGTATGTTCTCCACCAATAAAAGGGCTGCGTCGGATGCACGGTGTTGTATGAGAACCTAATCCATCGCCATTAGCGAACAGTAGAGACAGCCGCGCAAATTTTGCTCACCAACGGTTGTCCTACAGGCGACACGGTGGGCCCATGCAAGGAATGGCAAGATATGATTTCTGTATCCTCCGGTAGGTATTTCTCAAAGGCCGCTCTTTCGGGCGCTTTAACGGAAGTTTGGCCAGAGACTATAGCATTGACTTTTGTCGCTGGATGGCAAAGTAAATGCACCATCGACACGAGAATCAGAGGAACCATACATGGTCCATATTGAGCGACGACCCGCTCAATAAACTCGGCTTCAACAGAGTACATTATGAAGTCAGACGACCTCGAGACGCCGTGACCGTCCTGGAACACGGTTATGTTGGGAACACCTGGAATTCAAGGGTGTTAATAGGGGTTACAAAAAAAACTTGAACTGCAGGCATACCGGCATATTCTCGTGCGAGGGCGTCGTATTTTTCGCGTTGGTCGCAGACATGGATTCTACACGTGGTGGCCCGTTAATCAAAGATTCAAAAATCGTATCATGGCACATACTTCTTCCATCCAGCCCGCGAAAGATACTTCGCGTACATTCGCCCCATTGCACCCATGCCAATGAGCCCGATGGTGGGCTGAGCGTCCACCGCACTGCCGGGATTCACGTCGGAAGGGAAACTGGACATTATGGTGGGGGCAAAAGCCAGCTAGGAGATGGACAGGGTGGGCCCACAAGTGAGACGTAAAAAGGAGCGTCGAGTCAGAGACGCGGTCACCTGACACCGCGTCTCGCGTCGAGATCAAAACGGACACCTAATGCCGGAACTCATTTAATTAACGATAATCGGTTTAATCTCACTGCGATCCTCGGATATAAACCTGGCGCACATCGCGGCGAGTGGAGCTCACCCTTACTCCATTCATTTGAAGGGGAACTTCCGAACTTGTTTCGGTAGGCACTAAGGCCAGGTAGGTTCCATTGCAGTGCGCTCGGAGTTTGATTTCTACTCATGCTACAGCTCGTCCACTGTTAGATCGATTAATGAAAAATCCGTGTCAGCAAGGAGGAGAAGAGGTTCAGATGGGCTAGTTGCCGAACTTCAGAATCAAAATTCAGAACATCATCTTGGGCTCAGGACGTTCTCTGACTCTAGAAGTTATGCAACTCCCCGAAAACCGTTAATATGCAAGCTTCAGATCCCCTAAGACTCCGCCAAGACCCGGGGTTCCTCGCACAATAATATTAATCGTTCAACAATCAAACTATCGCATCATTATATTGCTGCTCCCTTCGAGCAGTGACATTGATACACTGTCGTCAGCGATAAGGTTTGCGTACCTTCGCCGAAGCTTCGTGGAAATTTTCACAAAATTAGGACACATTATCGGGCCGGAGCAAAAGGTGTCGGATGATGTTGGGATGATGTGCTTTTTGGTTCTTGTTGCGCCATGATATATACTCCGGCCAGTGAGCAAGTTCTTCTCCCCCCCTCTCTCAATTCCCGCGCAAGTCAACATGGCGCAACCTGGAGTCCCCAAATGGACGCCGCCCTCGCCGACCGAGCACGAGCTGCCTTGGGCAGAGATTCTGACCGTCGATCTCTCGCTCTATGATACACACTGGGAGGAGCTCGTCAAGACGGTATCTACGGCGCTTGAACGGGACGGATTCTTCTATGTGGTTGGTCATGGCATCGCCGCAGAAAATGTGAGCTCTCCGTATAAATCTTGCAGCGCATCGTCGATGCTGAACTCAGCGTCATAGCTGAGCCGGCAATTCGACCTCGGGCAACTCACATTCGAGGGAGTTTCGAGAGAGGAAAAGGAAAAGCACCGCGCACCTATCGCTGAAGAGGGGTCGTTTATTGGGTATAAAGTGAGATCGCTAGCTCTTTTCTGCTGCCCTATTCGTCTGACATATTCAGCTTCAAAATTATTGGGAGATCAAGGACGGTGTGCGCGACAGGATAGAACACTACAATTTCTACAAGAATAGGTACGATTCGCATCCTTCTATCGACCAAACTGAGCCTCCTTTCCCAGCATCGACCCCATCACTCGGCATCCAGAACCCCTGCGGCCATACGTCCCAGAAGTAAAGGAATTCTTGGAGGTATGCGCACTGAACAGTAATTACTCCGAACTCATACTGATGTTCTTTTTCTGCAGGAAACACGCCAGAAAGTCCTGCGTCGGATACTGTCATTGATAGATGCGGTATTGGGACTACAAGACGGACACCTGTGGTCATTGCACGAGACCGAAGGTGGTCAAACTGGCGACGATGTATGTGCTTTCGATCTTATCCTATTCTGCGCGCTGAATTCTTATTCTCCCTCTCAGTTACTTCGGTACATGATTTACGACCCGCTCACAGACGAAGAGTCTTTCAAAACCAACGGCGTCATGTTGAACGGTCATACAGATTTCAATTCGATCAGGTTTCGCATTTCCTCGACCGGTTTATCTTCTGTTTTGACTGTAGTCTCTTCAGCACGCTCGTATCTCAACCCATCTCAGCCTTGCAAGTGCTCATGCCAGACAATGTCTGGCGGTACGTGAAACACAAGGATGGTGCCCTCGTAATCAACATCGGCGACCAGCTGTCGTTCATGAGCGGTGGAATTCTTAAGGGAACAATGCACCGCGGTAACTATTTAACTCACTCACATTCTCGTGTTAAAATTCATCCGCTTACTCACAGTCATCCGACCACCGGCGGACCAGGCGCATCTCCGCCGCCTCGGGGTATTTCATTTCGCGCATTTCATCCGCGGGATACCCCTCGACCTCCTCCCGTCCGAGAAGGTGCACAAGGAGGGCCACAAGATATTTGAGAATGAGATCCCAACCACCGAGCAGTATGTTTATTCTCAGCCGCTGAGCTGAGGCGTTGCCAACTAAATTTCAGATGGGAAACTACTCGCATCAAGAGTTACGGAACGGCGACTTTTATCAAGGGAGAAGAGTTCGACGTTGAAATCATTGCTGGCTTACAGGTAGGTTCACCGTTCCGTGCGGAAGTACACCTGATATTGATGTCCCCAGGTTCGTCATTATCACTGAGGGCGTGATATTTCCCATTCCCATGTCGGTGGGAACCCAATGATTTAGCGTGCTATATATGAGCATTATCGTTATGCACTGCGCTATGTTTCTTAGATTCCATCCCATTCAATTCCGGTTCAGTGACATCGATTCTGTGAGCGGGTCTGCTGTAAACGAAATTAAGTGAGGGAAGAAGAGGAGGTATCAGTCGTTGGATGAAAATTAACCTTGGCTTATGGTCGATGGCTGGTATGGATGAGCGGCGGAGCGGATTGAAAAAAAAAGAAAGCTCAACATTCAAAAAGACTGCCGGTGGGCGGGGCTCGTGACTGAGACGATTGGGCCAACCGATAGAACCCCCCCTAACCTGATGGCGCGACGTCACCAATTCTGTGGTCCCGGGCACGGCCCGACGCGCACGGCCTGTACGAATGTGCGCCCAGAGGGAATCGAACCCCCGACCACTCACTGTCTCCCGCTGTTCGAGGCAACGGGATAACCAATTGAGCTAAAGGTGCTCTGAAGGGACAGAATCAAAGGTGGCGAGGAGGCAGCAGGCCGCGTGGAGTTTCGATAACACCGATCAATTGTCTTATGCGATTTATCCCTACCGAGCCCTTCAAGTTCGTTCGTTCGCAGCTGCTTGCTGAATACTTCTATAGAGGGTCGAATCGAAGACCGAAATATAGCATTCATAAATTGTTTGGCCAACTCGAAATGAGACCGCCGCCGTCACGGAAATTGAATTGCCGAAACCTTCCTTCTTCCTTTGCCTTTTAGTTTTACTTCGCCGCTTCCGGCTCGATATAACTGATCTGTCAAGCAGATGGGGCTATCGGGGCGAATACGGCAACAGTTCGGCCGCTCCCCGTGGCTGTGCTTGCTTACGTTCCAGGTTGGCAGCTCAATTGTCTCCGCCATCCCGCTCGCCGCTCTCATGAACAACCCTCATCCAACGATAACCATCGATCTCGTGCATGATTTTCTTACTCTACTGTAACACCCTCGAATGTATCATCTAGGTTCTGGACCGGCACACGACGAAAGAGGTCCTACAAGCCGTTCTGCACGCGATCCTCTTCCACCGCCTTTTCGGGCTCGTGAAACCACAAACATTCGATGTCCTCGATGTAACAATGGTCTGAGAACAACCAGCTCCTTCACAGCGCCTGCCCTGACTTGTATCGAGCGCAGCCCGGCGTGTCGGACCCCGAGATGGAGCAGCTTGTGAACGAGAAGGTCGATGCGTTCTGGCGGGGTGTGGAGGGCGGGGTCAGCAAGCGGGGCCAGGTCCGATTCATTGGAGACTCATCCTCGTTTTATTGAATCACGCGCACGACAGATCACGGTGACTTTCTCGGAGAAACGGCCCAAGAAGTCCTGGTTCCAAGTGTACATGGGTGAAGAAGAGGTTCCCTGGGAGCAATGGTGCGCGGCTTCTTTTCAACGAAGGCTTGTCTCACTGTCGCACCAGGATCATCAATGCAGAGCTTCGCCAGCCCAAGTCGGATCGGGGTACATACTTACGTCTCATTGCGCCGTTTCTGAAGAGTCTGACACCATGCCAGATCGGCAACAATTTCTGACCACGCTGGCCGCGACGCTCACCAAGGCCGTTCAGACGATGCTGGTGCACACTTCGTCAGAGAAAGGCCGAAACGCGGTCCCGCTCATCACGAATGCGACTGGGATATCGCCATTTCCCATCCGCATAGCTGTCAGCGTTGGTGGGGTGGAGGTGGCGTAGACTGACGGTGTGTGCCTCCTGAAGCCAGGCACAGTGTATCATATTTGAACTTCGTTGTAGCGTACACAGATCGTGGATTATATTGGGTGTTGTTAGGGATTGTCGAAAACCAGCATGGAAATGTCGCTTCCGACTGAGGGGCCACGACGATCCGGGCGGTGCAGCTGCTGCGAACGACGAGCCTACTGCGGTGTACATTGAACCTACTTTAAGCTGGTGCTGCGCGCGCCGCAAGTTCGCGCATCATGATCAGTGCCAAACATGCTGTGCAGCGGATCATTCAGGTTGCAGAGTTCTGCGAGCGACATGCGAGACAGGGAATCGCTGCGCATAGCTCGAGGCTAACAACGAGCTAGTATAAAACCAGTTCATGTCCCCTCATCCCCTCATTATTCCACTTCTCACTTCGTTGATTCGAACCATGGCTTCTTTCATCCTTCTTCCCTTCCTTGCAACTATTTTCTTCAACCAATTCTCCTCCGCGTTGTACTTGCCTCGGCAGGAGCAGAACCAGACTCTGCGATGGGTCGACTGTAGCACGCACGTTCCCCAGCCCATCCAGCTCGCGCTCAACATCACCACGACTTTCCCGGGTCCGCTTCCCGCGACGCTCTTTTGCGGGGAGATGGACGTGCCGATGGATTACGCCAAGCCCATTGCGGCGGACAACCAGATCACGGTGGGGTTCGCCATGAATCGCCCGAAGAATCCGGCGGGTCTCTTGATTTTGTAAGTCTTTCCTCTTTCGCATTGAGAGTTAGTTTCTCATCCTGTCTTTCTAGTCATGCGGGTAATTATCGCGAGTAACTTCCAATGCACGACTCACTAACCATTTTGACAACAGGTGGACCCGGAGTCGATGCCGTGTCCCAAGCTTGGGCAAACGCGCTCAATACGTCGGAGGCTGGCACGTTCGCTGGTCTCGAGGACTTTGATTTCCTAGGTTCGTCTTCCTCCTTTTCCACTCCTCCGTCACTTCGGTAGCTGACGGATTTTTCTCCAGCTGTAAACACACGCGGAATTCAGTTCTCCAACCCCCTCAACTGCACCTCGAACACCTTCTTCAACAACATCTCGTTCGCCTTGTGAGTACCTTTCTCGGCTCGCCTCGCACGTCCGGTTCATTGACCTATGATTGTTTATCCATCCAGCCCGAGCACGGAGAGCGAGTTCGACGCATACCAGACCGCCATGGGGAGCTTCATCGCGTCGTGCGCAAACAACAGTAGCCCTGCGGGCATCATCCAGCACGTCGGGACCCCTGAGGTGATCCAGGATTGGGATGCCATCCGGGCGGCGCTGGGGTACGATAAGGTGCATCTCGTCGGTGTGTCTTAGTAAGCCGACCTATACCCAGGTGCCTATGCCGCGGGCTGATTATTCATGGTTCGCTAGTGGATCGTTCGTTGGAGCAGCATACGCCGCTAAATTCCCGGAGCGGGTGGGGAATTTTATCCTGGACGCGGTGTTGCCTCATGGGATGGTGTGTATCTTCCGAAAGTCTGGGATGCTATATGTTGTTGATGATGTTGCAGACGTTCCAAGACATGGTGACGGACCAAGTCGCCGCGATAAACCGTCTGCTCCTCCGTGCCGATGCCTTCTGCCTCGTGGATACTTCTTGCCCTTTCCACGGCCAAGGGAAGGGCAGCGTGGTCAAGGTATTCGAGATTACACATTCCCCACTAGCTTCACTAAGTTCACCTGCTTCTTCGTAGGCTTGGGAAACGGTTCTGGCCCGCGCGATACAGCAACCGATCCCCGCAAGCAAGTGCGGTCCCGGGAAAGGCTGCAACACCCCCGTCACACCGACGGACCTGCGCCTGGGCGCCAGCGTCCTCCTGCGTAGCAACCCTGACTTCCCGCAGTTCAACCAGGCACTCAACGACTCCCTAAATGGCGACGCCAGTCTCTTCGCGTATGTGCCGGCTGGGGATATCCGCGACACCGTGGTGGTCCCGCTTCTGTGCTCGGACCTGAGTAAGAGGATCCCTCGTTGCTTGACTGATTTATGTGACTTATCCTCGTTACAGAAAACAGTGACAAGTCGTTTGCTGGCTTCGAGGCGCTCAGCAAGAATTCCAATAGCGTGAGCTCGTCAATCTCTCTGGTGTATCTTGCATTCAACTCCCTCCTGCTTCAGAGCGACCCTGCCCAGATGATCTACTCTCAAATCTGGCAGTTCACGTACATGTGTTCCGCCTGGCCATTCGATGCCCCAGCTCCTGCGCCCTTCCAGACGCAGTTGCCAATCATGTGGGTCACGTCGGACTTCGATCTCAAGTGCGTCTCACCCAACTGCGATGGTGTCTACTTTCAAACTGATTATCTTCACCATTAGCTTGCCCACGGAGCTCACGACCTTCGCCTTCGAACAGGCGCCGAACTCGACGCTGGTCGTCCGCCACGGCGACGACCACGTCTCGATAGACTGTGCGTATTATTCCTGCTGCTATCTGACTGTCACCTGGGCGATACTAACGTCGAAATCAGTGCCCAATGTTGCGTCCCATCCGATCGAGATCGACTTCATCCGCACGGGTGTCTTTCCCGCCGCGCGGGACGACGCACTCGTGACGGTCATCCCTCCCGGCGACAAACGCGGCGCAGTCGCGGACCCATACAAAGTCGCAGTGGGAGCGGTGGCAGGCGATATGAGTACAATCGAGACAGTCCAGGATTTCACACCGCTCCCGTCCCCCTCCGGAGCTCTTCCGTGCTGGGGCGCTGGTATCGGGCCTGCGGCATTGCTTTTTGTTGTTCGTATGCTTGTAATGGCTTGATGTCTTACTATACTCTACATATATATCGTTTTGAAAATTTTACCGATGCCCTGTAAGATTTCTCAGACCTTGAATATCCGGTACCACCGTTGGTCCACCTCGACGCTCTCCGTCACGATACCCCGGGCCACACACAGAGGAAAAGCCTGTTGTATGGGCTCCGATATTCCGTCCACAGGGTGAGAGTCCGCCTCGGTGTGGACGAGGCGTGTGAGTGTGAGCCGGCGAGCCGATAGCTCAAGCATACGATCGAGCTCTGCCCAGTCTGATGTTACAGGCGGCTGAGCCTCGTTGCGATAGTTTGATGGATAGGGAACGACAATGGTGATGGCCAACGACGTGGAGAGGTGCGCAGTCTTCATAAGGGATGTGGTGTGCGCAGGGACTGACTGGACGTATAACGTTTGCAGGCGCGTGTTCCGTTCCAAGAAGACCGAAGGAAAAGGCCCTGCTCCACTTTCAGATAGTGAACCTCGAGGGAGAAGTGGTACCAAAACATACCCATGTTTGCGTTCCAATTGATTCGAGTATCGAAGGTCAGGGCCAATGACAACAATGACGAGGCAAGACTCCCGATGTACCGCGCGATGGACTCGGATGAGGTTTTTTTCGAACCGTGGGGGAAAAAGACTTTCAGGTCCGATATCATGGCGTTGCTCTCCTGCATCCATTCGCAAAGCGGTTCCGCGTCATGGACTCGGACATTGAGCATGCGCAATGTCTCTGCCGGAGGGAGCCTTGGCTTGGGCGGTGCACTGTCTTCCCAATCCTCCTGCAACCAGATTTTTAACCCCTCGAGCGCCGGGAAACCGGAGATACATCCGACTGCGTCCGCAAATTTGAGTTTCCATGTACCAACCAGTTCGAAATGCGTAACACCGCTAAGAGGCGCGCAAATGAAAGGGGGTTTCATACCATACGGTGTATGCCCAGATAAAGCGACGGTGTGGACGGAGAAAGGGAGGTGCTTCGCAATTTTTGGGAATAC